GGAAGGAAGGAAGGAAGGAAGGAAGGAAGGAAGGAAGGAAGGAAGGAAGGAAGGAAATTAATTGCAAGTAACTCATTCTTTGTGACAAATGGGCCAGAATCCCGTGAAAGGCTAGCCGGTCTTAAGGTAGCTAATTGTGGCTAACTGTCCAGGTGTCAAGGTGCATCTCGGTTACATGGCCGGTTATGGGCCCAAATGCGTAATAGGGATGTGCCCAGCAGCTTCTCAATAAGCCACAATTAGCCTCGGCAAATGAGGCAAACCTGACGGGAACACCAGGAGGATTTGGGTCAAAACCTATCGTTTAAGTTCCTCCTTGCTTACCGCATCTTGCAAAGTTCTTCCCTAGAGCAGAGAAGGGGCAGAGTTTTGTTTAGTCCACCTGTTGTCTGGAGTGTTCCTGCGTTGTGCTTTCAAAAGCAGCCCATAAACCCAAATGTTTGGGGTCTCCGGGTCTTAGTATCATGCAAGAAAAACTGTTGATAGGGGTGGAACGAAGTTGAAAAAGAAGATTAATTTTTTTTTTTGGCCTGGGGGATGGCATTTTTGCTCCAAAATAAGTGGATCGGGCAGGAAGGTATTCGTGAGGGAAAATGTGCATGTGTTTGTGTAGGAGAAAGCCAGCCCTTTCTTCCACAAAAAATTCACCTAGGAGGCGAAGGGGGAGTAAGTACAGTAAGGAGGCAAAGTTGGTTCCTGCAGCCACTAGAGGGGGCAAGGGAGCCTTTTAAATTTTTTTTTAAAATAGGAGATAGATGGGGGGGTCGGGAGTGAGAATCAGGGTGCAGGCTTCTAAGCTCCAGGTTGGGGTGAACAGCCTTCAGAATGTAAAACAGACGAGGGAGTCGCCTAGAACAAGGCCCGAGAAGCATCATTGCTTAAAACAAACCTTTAAAAATCTGCTTCAAGACCTGAAGTGGTGCTCTCTATTTCATTTGGTACTTTCTGTCTCTCTGCCACCTAAGCAGAATTTTCTCGTCCCTCCATCTCTCTCCCCCTCCACCGCCCCCCTCCAATTTCCTCCAGGAATTCCTGAAACGACCATCACGGACATGCAGACCTATATGGACATGCTGAATNCCTCCCGAAGTCCAGCACACCGCGGAAATCTACGTCCAGGCTAAGAACAACCTCCGTCACGTGGAGAGCGAAGTGTTGAAGCGAGAGGTAAGGCCTCCTGCGGCCCAAGATAAACCCCCACCCCACAATTCTGGTGTTTTCCAAAGGCTGAAAACCCAATAGAGGCAGGGTTTAAAGTGGGGCAGGTAGGCATCCTTCAGTCTCGAGGGACGATGGTCACGTGCTCTGTATGGAGGTCTTGGAACAGCGTCTGGCGTGGCCGAGAAGGCCAATTGGAGATTGACAATCCCTTCCACACTAAAGACAAATACAATCTGTCCCCTGTCCAGCTCCCCAATTTTGCTGGTTTCTGGATGGCCTCTTTGCCTCAGCCTGCTGGACAAGGATCTCTTCAAATTGGGAGAGGCCGTGAACGCTCAGATTTCCCATCTGTTGAGGTCCATTCCTAAAGCCTTCAGATCCCACTTGCGGATCTCCTTGTATCGCAGTGCGGTCTCCCTCTGAGGCAATTTCCCTGCACTAATTCTCCATACAGGAGATCTTTTGGAATCGGACCGCCAGCCATTCTCATGACATACCTGAGCCAACATAGACATTGGTGGGGCAGGATCTCTGAGTGGACGGGATGCTTCGTTACAGTGAGGGTCGGCAGTGCAGTGCAGGGATGGTCCAGTGCAGCTTTCCCCAACCCACAGCCTTCTGGATGCACAGGGCTACAACTCTCATAAACGTCCCACAAGAAACGTGGGACGTCTTGAGGGAGTTCTGGACCTCCGCATCTGAGCCTCACACACTGAGAGAGTTGAGGAACATGGGTCTTGTGGGCAGAGTCTCCAAGGCAGAGTTTTGAGACCTTCAACCAGAGATGCAAAAAGCACAGGCTTTGACACGCAACATCAAATGCAAGAGTTGGCTTCTTTAATGGTCACATGGAGATGACCTCCAGGCCGCTCCTTCTCCTGGACAGCACAGTGGCTGGTGGCTTGTCACTGTCAGAGGGCAGTAAATCCACCCTGGGTTTGAATCTCAACTTTCTGGTTTTTCCGCTGGTGCTCTCCAAGGTTCTGAATTTAAGGTTCGGGCTGAAATTGACCAGAGACATTGACCAGGATGGACAAGAGAGGTGAGAGACACAGAGACATGCAGGTGCCTGTACACAGACAGATACACAAATGCACACCGAGACAGGGAGGGAGCAGGTGGAGGAAGAGAAAGAACTCGCGCACCAGTGAGTGGCAAAACCCACAGACACAATTTATGCTGACAGAGGCATTCACATAGGCCAGAACAACTGAAAATAAATCAATTTCACAAGAGATTGAAAATAAACAACCCACTCGCAGACAAGTAAAATACCTTGCCTTCGAACCCCCCCACCCCCCAAAAAAATCATGCTTCTTAGGCAAAACAACCTGTGTTTCCATGTGTGTCGTGTGGTCACCTTTTTCAAAAAATTTATTTCAAACAGACTAAACCCAATTCAAGTACAGGTGTGTGTTTTTTCTGTGTAATCCCACTCCTTAAGTTTGTTTTTATAGCTTTTAAGTGTTTTAAATCACTTAATGTATTTTTAGTTATTCTCATAGTTTAGGTACTTTATAATGTGTAATTTGTTGTGTTTTTTAATAAAATATTACTTGTTTTAACACTGTGACCCCATCTCCTGACTGGGAGAAAGGGAGCCTACAAATCATATTAAATGAACAAGCAAATCAACTTTGAAACGTGAGATGGGATGGAAGTGGGTGCCCTCGAATTAATGAGAATTTGATTTAGCCCATTTATTTGACTTAAAAGAGGAAACTAGAGAATTTCGATGAATAGGGACGTGTTCCAGAAATATCACAAAATCTTCCCCAGAAAGCTTACAGGGAATTTTAATTAACTGAAATGTTAATCAGGGTGGATTGAGGAACCAACCTACACATACACGTCTACTCAAAAGTAAGCCCTTTGTGTTCAATAGGAGTTACTGCCAGATAAGGTTGGATGCGACAGCAGCTTTAATGGGGATTAAATGTTAGAGGAGAGTAAGACGATGGTATCTCCATGGTGGGAGACCGGCTCCAAGCCTCCCGTGGATACTGAAAAATGTGGAAGTATAGAATGCTGTACATTGCATGGTGTCTGGCTCCATCTAGTGACCAGTTCTGGCAAATATATACTCTGGAAATACATATACTGTGGGTATTTCTGGGTGTGTTTTTTTAATTTAGTATTTTCATCCAATAAGTGAATCAGCGGATACTGATCCTGCGAATAGTGGAGGTCCTACTCTAAACTCAAACTCAGAAAAAAATTTTGGAACTGCTGTCTGGGGCATTCCAAGAGCTGCGGAGCAGAATAAATAAATTCACAAAGCTGTGCTCCGTCCTGATGCAGACAGAGGTGGTGCAGTGGATAGAATACGGGGTTATGATCCAGGAAACCTGAGTTCGAATCCTCACTCAGCCAGTGGGGAGGTAATACTGGTAAAAACACTCCTTGAAAACCCTTTAGGGTTACTATAAGTCGGTTCAACTTGATGGCACATAACAACAATAACAATGAAAACCCAATTCAGAAGCTTTTATGCGAATCATATAAGGTCAAAATGTAAATCAGCTGAAATTCTGTAGTTCACCTGCATGTTGCTAATCCAGTTGTGACCCCAACATTGCTGATGACTGCTGGATAACTCAGCGATTTAGGTATCCAGATGTTGGGGCTTCTATTCCCCATTGGGCTTCGTTGACAGGGGCTGGACTTGGTGATCCTTAGAGTCCCTTCCAGATCTGCAGTTCTAAGATGATGATGATGATGATGAGTGGTCTATGGATTGACTTGTTGCAGAGCTATGAGCTGGCAAGGACGAAAGGTCTGGCTTCTCACCAAGGCTGATGGCCACACCCATGTCTTCTCCTACCCTCTAGAGCAATGGTCCCCAACCTTGGCGCTCCAGATGTTCTTGGACTTCAACTCCCAGAAACCCTAGCCAGCAGAGGTGGTGGTGGTGAAGGCTTCTGGGAGTTGTAGTCCAAGGACATCTGGAGGCCCAAGGTTGGGGACCACTGCTTTAGAGAACCTGGTGTGTGGTTTATGCAGTGGACCTGGGCAGATCCTAGCTCTTGAGGAAACGGATGGCTACGGTAGCCAGGATTTCCTTTGCCCAAACTTGACCCATGAGCCCACCCTACTTCCTTCCTGGAGCAGTTTACGGCCACACAACTAATTCTCAAGCTGCTAAATCTGAACCCAAGTTAAGTGCTGTTGTTTCCAGGTGAAGCTGGGGGTTTTTATGGGAAGGGGTTTTCCAAATCATGACCCCCAAGAGCCCAAGGGGTCCAGTTGAAACTTTAAGGCAACTGAAAAGGAGCACCCCTTCAAAATCTTGCTGGGTAACGGGAGGGTTTGCACATATCATGTTGTTACGGGAACTCCACTCCATGGGTGAAGTTCTTTTCCAACGTCGGTCCTCAGCCCAGGACAGCCTGACGGGGAAGGCCGAGCTGGCTTTTCCCTTGTGTTGCTCGTGGCTCGGCTAAAAACATAACCATTTTGAAAGCCGACGGCCTGATTGGTTTTTTCCTCGGCTTTCTCCTCTGCCAACGTGTGTTTGATCCGCTCTTCTGGTTGGGTGTTGACCGCTCACCTTTTTGCTTTAATAATGATTTTCATGACTATATTCTAAGATCAGTGGTGCTGATTCAAGAGTTGAGACAGAAAAGTGAGCTGAGTTTTTAGTCCTAGAATCACGGCGTCGGAAGGGGGCCTCTACGAACATCGAGTCCAACTCGCTGTGCGATGCAGGAATCCAAGTCAAAGCAGATCGGACAGAGGGTGGTCCCCTTTTCTCTGGAAGGCCTCCCGTGTTGGAACGCTCATCACCTCCCCCTGAGGTCATGAATTCCCTCGTCATGCTACTCTAACACTCTTCTCTCAATTTGGGTGAACGGCACAAAGCAAGACCTTTCCAGAGGAAAGCCTCCACCTGCTTCCGTTCATTCCTTTCTTTGATTCCCCGTGGCAGTGGAAGCGCGAGAGAAGGCAAGCCTTATCTGGGTCCGTCTTTGCTGGAGAGCTTGAAGGCAGATGGAAACAATAGCCATCTTGTCAGGCCCATTGAAAGCCTGGATGTGACGACCCTGTCGGTAATTGTGTTAATTGCATGGGCTTTTCTTTCCAACTTTGGTTCGGTACCAAGAATGCAGCCGAATCAAAGTCCATTTTGATGCATCCTTCCACCCATAAGCTATTACTGCATGTGCTGCTATAATCATAGCTTTAAATAAATTCTGTTTAGGTTTTTTTACTTTATTATTCCCCAGAACTCCCATAAACAAGATTTTCCCAGTCAGCTGCAATTTAATATTACACACGGCGTTCACCTTTTCTAAAATCAGCTGCCAAAATTCAATAACCTTAGGGCATTCGCACCAAAGATGTGCATAATATCCCTTACTCCTCTTACAATGCCAGCAACTTGAATTCAAACCTTTTATCATATAAGACAACTGAGGGGGTGTCCTATACCATTTCAATATTAATTTCATCTCCACTTCTCTAAATTTATCCATTTTGATTTCCAATATGCCTTCCATTAACCCATCTATTTCGTATGCTGACAATGTCATTTCTCTTTCCCACTTCGTTTGTATTGTCCCAATCATATAATCTTTATCTGTATTTATCAAGTTGTACAACTTCCTTGCAATACCCTTCTTATTATCCTCTTTATTATTATATAGTTTTTCTAGCGGGGTATCCTCTTTATTTAGTATTCCAGAATACCTTCTCTGTTTCAAAATATTATATAAAGCCATAGTCTGTAACCAGTATTGTCTTCCAACTTGTCCTACTACATTTTGTGCCGGAATCTGTGTCCCCTGAGGGTTATATAAATCCTTCACTCTATAATAGCCAGTTTCTTTTAGTTTCTTCCAAAAAGTTTTCTCAATTTTCAAATCCTCACCTAGAGATTCTAGTGGGGTCCATTTGGAAAGACTTGGCATCCAATTAAGTTGCCTTTCCCCCCATATTATTAATGCTGTCTGTCTTGGACCTATTGTATTTTTAATGTCTTTTTTAACCTTCTGTGTAAATATTCC